TATGGGGATTTAATTCAGGATTAATTTTTAAAGAGTTCATAAAATAAGCGATTAAAATAAGTGATTATAAAAATAAGTCGATCTACAGTTTTCAAGTTTCTGCTAATCATTGGTTTTTACCTTACCAATTCCCTAAGCGGCTTCGACCTCTATTCAATTTCAATATCAATTGACAAGCGCAATAGATATAAAACAGATTGAATTCCTATTCCGAAATAAGCAAGCTGATTAATACAATCGTGAATTAAGCAAACCCGATATATAATGCAATTTAACGACTAAGCAACGTAAATAGTGATTAAAGATTAGGAATACAATCATACGAATTTATTCAAGACATTCCATGAAATAACAGATTAAGCAAATGCAATTTCATAAAATAGAATTGAAAGAGAAACAAAATTGAATTGATAAATTAAAAACCTCAAAGTGTTGGAACGTGATTACAGTAGATCAACTCTGGATGATTAGTTCTTCATTCAAGCGTACAAGAAAAATATTTTTTTATTGTGAATAGAAGGTAAAATTGAATAGTAATGTCTGCCCTAGTTATAAGAGCATAAGGATTACACCAAAAATTTGAACCGAGTCATAAATTATAAACCAGGACCAAAAAATTGACCCAAAACAAAATGTATCTAATGTTGCAACTTCAACGAATTATTGAAGTCTGGTTCATTCTGAATCAGCTTCTGGCTCCAACATCGAAGTTTTAGCACTTTCTCTTAGCTTTCCAACGCATATTATAACGCCTCAATCCGATTTTTGTAGCTCTAGTTATGAATTTTTTAATGAAAGCTACAAATGTTGATAATTAAATACGAAAATCAAATTAAACCAAAAATAAACTAAATTAGAAAAACATTATAAAACATAAAAACAAACTAAGTAAAACATAGAAACGCTTAAGTACAAACATGGAAGAATGTATATCAAAATGCACTGATAAAATTCTCCCACACTTGAACTTTTGCACTCCGAGAAAAATAAAATCAAAAGAAACACAATAGCATCGTCAGTTACTCATTCCAGGCTACAAACTCTTCTTCGGTTAAGATTGCATTGATATGTACTAATTTTGCACACTAAGGATATCGTAAGAACACTACTCTATAATTGTGCAGTCATATACCTCCTGAATATACAACCCAATTCGAATCATATTATTATGCCATAGCCTAACTTACTCATCATCCTTTTTGCTCTCTTTCATTATGGCACAATCACATTAAGCTCGTTATCTCCATACACTCATAGTAAGGAGATCGGGTAGTGACTCTAATCCTTTTTGCATGGGGTTCTGGTACATGAGTGGTATAACCCTTTTCTTACTTAATTGTAGAGTTGGGGGATCAGACCATAATCCATCCTACCAAGTTCAACACCAGAAACCTCTGAACCAACTAACAACAGGGCTGATAATCAAATTTTGTAGGTTCCACAACTGCTAGATTAAGTGACCGTGTGAGGGTTACCAAACTTAGAAGGTGCATTCCCTATTTTTTTCAAATAAAAACATGGATCACTAACTTATATTCATCGACTTCCATATGTAGAGCATGTGTGAGATGTTGTCGACTGCTAAGATAAACTACTCCAGAGCTGTTAGAGAATGAGAATTCAAGGATATGTCATAATAATTATTCAACTTAATTTCCATATACAGGAGACTTACAGTGTTAAAACGATACCGATCTTACAAATTTTTCCCAAGTCTCCACAACTAACATCAGATTAATCTTATAACCCAAAACTTACAAAAAGATGCATTTTTTTATAATAACTGGAAACAAAACAAAATAACGAACAAAAGAAAAAAAATGATTCTCTCCCCCACACTTAAAACAAGCATTATCCTCAATGAAAGAAACAAATATAAAATAAGAGAGACGAGAGAGAGGAAAGAACACACCCGAATAGTCAAGGCGCATAGATGACCACATAAGTAGCCTTTCCCAACGAGAGCTCTTCTATAATTTCCTCTTCCAATGTGGGGCTCTCATGGAATAGTTTAATGAATTGTCTATTAACTTTGCAATTTTGATCAATGTCTTCACTTTTTATTCCAGGATCAAAGAATTTTTTTCTAAAATTAGAAGTGTTAAATGAGCACGTGAACGTGGTCTAATCTTTCATAACATCAGGGATCAAAAGGTTATGGGGATGCCTCACTGATTTTGCTACATCTTCAAGTGAGATCCTATGCATACACATGGATGGACATATATCATAAATATCATCCAAGATCCATCCAATTCCTTTCCTATGATTCTTCAAAACTTGCAAAAATTTACTTTCTTGATCAAAATAAAGTTTAGAAGAAATTATAACCGAAAGTTTTTCATTCATCTCTAAATAAGCATATTTAAGATTTTCAGGAATTGGTTTCAGCTCTCGGGAAGGTGGTTATTTGATGGATGGTTTGTTTCGGGAAGCCGGGGTGTCGAGAGCTTCATCTATATGAACAACTTCATTTGAAACATCATGTGCAGTAAGAATATCAACTTACAAAGCAGCCTCAATTTCAGCACAAATAGAGCAAATTTTAGTGTCAGAACAAACATCACAAGAGTAAACATCGTCAAAATCAGACAATGATGGAAAATCAACTGCAAAAAAATCAGTACAAGTATCATCAGCAGTCTCAGAAAGCAACTTTATTGGAAAAACATAATTCTCTTCCAAGGGTTGTTGGTTAGATCCTTTAGCTTGTTGCATGGCATTCATCGAACAGGCAAGTTGTTCAATCTGTGTGTGTAAAGTCTGGAGAGTAGAATTTATTTGTTGTTAAAACTGGAGATTATTTGCATCATTTGTTTGACAATATCCTCTAGTGATTCCTGAAAGATGCAGAGCACACAACCTGAAATTCCTTCAGATGTTTATGCGGATCTCACCTGCAAGACCATTAAACTTTGGCAACAAGTGTATTAAACTAGATTTCAATTTAAAAGGTGTATCAACTGCAGGATAGTCAATACATAAACCACTATAGTTCACATCAGGGATAACCAACTGCCTCAAAGTTCTTTGTTCAGCCATGTTATCAACAAACACATAAATATCAATTATGTCCCGAAAAGGCCGAAACAAATACGAAGAAGGAAAACAATTAAAAAAAATTCATAAAAATATAAAAACATCGAAATTAATCTAATAAAGCAAAATAAGAATTTTGAGAATTTTTTAGGATTTTTTTGAAACTGTGAAAACGGTAAAAAATTAATTAAAAATAGAAAAAAAAAAGGAATTTTCAATTTCGAGGGTCAAAATCTTTTAGATGTTATTCTAAAGGAGTACTCTTTTTTCGATTTTTTTTTACTTCTCGAAAAAATTTAGAACAAATCAAAACAGTAGCTTTCAAACTTACCAGGTAGGCTGAAATACTTATCACTATACTGTAACCTGTATTACAACCCTGAAACCCAACAAACACAAAAAAAAAAGAAAAAAACTAGAAAGAATACTAAACATATGACTCTAATATCGGTTAATAACAACAAACATCCCTAGCAACAGCGCCAATTTGATCCACTGTCGCGCACGAATAAAAAATGAGTTATTTTGAAAAATATAGTTTAACGATAGTGACTCGAGTATCGTATTGTGAGGATTCTTATATTGTTATTAACAAACAGAAACGATTATGGGGATTTAATTCAGGATCAATTTTTAAAGAGTTTATAAAATAAGCGATTAAAATAAGTGATTATAAAAATAAGTCGATCTATTGTTTTCAGGTTCCTGCTAATCATTGGTTTTTACCTTACCAATTCCCTAAGCGGATTCAACCTATATTTGATTTAAATACCAATTGACAAGCGCAATAGATATAAAACAGATTGAATTCCCATTCCAAATTAAGTAAACGAATTAATACAATCGTGAATTAAGCAAATGCAATATAGAACGCGATTTAACGACTAAGCGATGTAAACATCGATTAAATATTAGGAATACAATCATACAAATTTAATCAATACATTCCATGAAATAATAGATTAAGCAAATGTAATTTCATAAAATAGAATTCAAAGAGAAACGAAATTGAATTGATAAATTAAAAACCTTAAAGCGTCGGAACGCGATTACAGTAGATCAACTCTGGATGATTAGTTCTTCATTCAAGCGTATAAGTAAAAGTAATTTTTTTATCATGAATAGAAGGTAAATTAATAGTAACGGCTGCCCTGGTTATAAAAGCATAAGGGTTACACCAAAAATCTGAACCGGGTCAGAAATTACAAACTAGGCCCAGAAAATTGACCCAAAACAAAATGTATCTAATGCTGCAACTTCAACGAATTATTCTAGCTTGCTACACTCCTAATCAGTTTCTGGCACCAACATGAAAGTTGTATCTCTTTCTCTTAGATTTCCAACATATATTAGAACGCCTCGATCCGATTCATGTAGCTCAAATTATGAATTTTCAATGAAAGCTACCAATGCTGAAAATTAAATACGAAAATAAAATTAAACCAAAAATAAACTAAATTAGAAAAACATTATAAAACATAAAAATAAACAAAGTAAAACATAGAAATGCTTAAGTACAAATGTGGAAGAATGTGCATCAAAATGCACTGGTCACTCTTCTTACTAAAAGTGGAGTAAATTGGGTGAAGTTAATTATTGTTTGGATGATTTAAGGCAAATGATATCCATATAGACATATGTTTTTTTACTTCTTTTATGGAAATGATTTTAGAGCTCAATCGTATTGTGTCCAAGAAAGAGAACTTGGTGGAAGCTCCAAAGATTCTGGACAAATATAGAGTTTCTATAATGAGGTATTATAAAGACACTGGCATTATTTAATACTACCTTGAGAAATATGGCAGGAAAGTGTATGATGACTAGGTTGTGGAGCCAGTGAAGGGCTCTTCTGATGATACTGGTGCATCTAGTTCTGGGTTATTATCTGCTGATATGAAAGCATATTTTGATGAGTGGTTCAAGAAGGTTCTAATGATAATCCGGTTCGGGAAGAATGTGTCATGGCACACATTAAAGGTGTTTTTAAGGAAGGTGAGGATAGCCAGATGAAGCTGAAGAAAGAGTTGAAGGTCGAGATTCAAGCTGGTGAAGCCCGAGTCATTGCTCAAGTTGATTCTATGAAGGCTATTATTGAGAACCTTGGTAGATCTAATATCATCTTTCCTATTAGTACTTTTGAACGTGATTCAGAGCCCAATGACCTTAATTTTGCAGCAGTTGCACCTCCTCTTACTAAAGCAACTAGCCTTCCTTGATTTTATTAGTCATAACATTAACATCTCTAGATAATTATGATATTTTTGACTGACTGGCTGTTTTGATATTATTGACCATATTTTGGATTATGTACTGTGTGACAAGTCTTTAGTCACATATCTCTGTAATTCTTATTTTTCTATCTCTTTGTTGATATTTTTAATTAAAATTGTGTGTTTTTTATAATTGGCATCTTATACAATTATTTTTTGGTGTTTGTTTAGTTTGATTTTTCGGCTTTCATATTATCTCGGATTAAACAATTTGCATTTATTTTTCTCTCTTTTTGGTATTTGTCAAAGAGGGAGAAGGTATTGAGATATTATCGATATTTACGCGAATTAAGTTATTAGAGCACAGGGGCTTTACAGCTCAAGTGAAGTGTGGTACACTCATTTGAAGTGCGCTAAGAAAATACATCAGATTCATTTCATTTCCAAATTCTAAATAACTCTTATAATAATTAATCAACAATAATACCTTCAAATTTTCCAAATATCAAAAGGGGGACTGAAAGTGAAATCACGTTATCATATTGTATCATTTAGTAATTTTGTTGTTTTTTCCAATTTTAATGTATTTGTTATAGCTTGTTTGTATATTTTCAATTTGTTTATCATTCAATATTCACGTGTTTGTATCCTATTCACTTTTGAGTTGTATTATATTTACTTCGGCTATTTTAGTAGTGTACCATTAAGGCCCCTTATTACTCAATAAATAGAAGTGTTTAATCCATGATAGTGTTTATTTTTTAGCTTAGAAAATTGCTCTTTTATCGTTTCATCAGGTGTGGCTTGAATCACAAGTTAGAGCTCTTAAATAAAGATGTTGAGTTACTTGATTCAAATCAAGTGTTAAGTGTGACTCGAATTAAGAACCTTGTGAAAATCAAGATTTTCCTCTAGATGAATAGATTCAAATCACAAAATAAACCTGATTCGAGTCACAACCTCATGTGAATCAAATCAAGTGTTAATCCTGATTTGAATCAGAAGTCTCCATTGTGCCAAATTTATGCTCTTCTCAAATTGACTCGAATCAAGCATATAACTTGATTTTAGTCACAAAATCTTGTGTTTGAATCATGATTTCTTCTTGACTTGAATATAGCTTCACAAATCCAATTTTCTATATTAGATTTAAATAGTTGTTTCTTTGATGAAAGTAGTAATTGTGTGAAACATGAAGGTGAAACCTATAGAGACAAAAATGTCAATTTGTATTCTCTTATTTAGTGTGTCTAAGTCAAGAACAATGAATCTTTCTATTATTATCTTGAACAACTTTTTGAGTGTTAATGCATTCCATATTCACTTTATTTTGTTGCATCTTGTACTTGTGCAATTTGTTGTTATTTTAAATGAACTAGAGAGAGTGAGTTAATTAATCTTGTAGTGTTATTCGTGATTAATCAAGATCGTGACATCCATTAAGAACCAAAACCAATTAATCTCAAAATTTGAGAGAACCTTGTGTGTGTTCTTCATTTACATACATCTAATTTCTTGACTAACATGTTGTGCATTGGAGTGTTTGTGAGATGTCCTGGAACCTTTCATCATATTCGTCCTTAGTCTTTTTCCATTGTTAAGGAACTTCATCTCTAAAGATTGAGTTTTTAAGGAGACTATTGGTACATTAGGGTATCTAATGTTTTTGTGTGAAGTTTTTTGTTCTTAATGGGTGCATGTATTATTTCTTGAATGAAGTTTGGTTTTTATTGGTATCCATGAAGGATATAGTTTCAATATAGTCCATGGAAGACTTTGGAGAGATTAAATATCATTTGTCCGTAAGGAGGAGTTAAAATTTATCCATCTTTGGTGAAGTTAGAGAAAGATTGCTCACAGACGAAGTTAGGAGTTATCCAATCAACTCTTAGCTAATGACAATTTCTCAGACAAGAAATTGGTGGGATCGGGTAAATTGTCACACACGAATACTTAGAGTAGTTTATTATAGATAGCAAGGTTATTGGATCAAAATATTTAGAGATCTTATTTTTATTAGCAGTTTGAGTGTCTACATCAACAAAGGGAATTATCATATGATAGTTTGTTGTAACCAAAATGCATGTGTTGTACCCCAAAATTTGCCCTCGCATTTTTTTCCCACAAGAAATCACATCTTCAGGCTTTTCCTAATTTTTCAGATTGGCTCAAGAATCGGCCAAACAGACTTTTCTCGTCAGTCAGACAAAATTAGGGTTTTCATTGATTTTCATGGCTCTGGGACAATTCAAACAGTTGGTTTAGGGTTTGGTTGATTTTGGCTCAACTTTGATCAGGCGAACGCTTCTTTGGCATTTGATCAGGAATTAGGGTTTGTGCGCAGATCTCTCAGAAACATTTAATCCTACAGTGCTTGTCAAGTTATTTTGAGATGTGGACTGAGGAATTTGGACTGAGTTTGCAATGTTTGACTAAATCAGTGAGAAGAAAAGACATTTGGGCATGTATGATTTGACGGTGCATTGCTTTGATTATTCAAGATGCCGGACGTTTATGGATTATTTATTATTCTGAGTTAAATGGTTGGAATTTATTTTCAATTATTATAATTTAAAGAATTATAAATAATATATAAACAATTGAAAAGAATAAAAAGAATTAATTGGTTAAAAGGAATTTTTATTCATCTTTAAATATTTGTTACAATGGTTATTTAAATACAAGTATTTATTTACAAAGTATTTATAATAATGATAGTTACAATAATTAAAATTGAAATAAACTATCCTAAATTCCTAAGTCTTCAAATTATTTATCCTCCATTTGTTGCTATTTGATTTTTTTTATCTGCAAAGAAAAGAAGAAAAAAGTCAGAAGCAGATAAATAATTAAAGGCAGACAGATAAAAATTGGGTCCATCATTAAAAGCAAAAGGCCGGGATCAGTTCGCCCTCTCTGCAAATCACGAGATTTCTCCCGGTTCACAAAGAGGGATGAATGATGTTTGCAAATTAAAGAATGAATGCACAAAGTATACAAATTGCACATTTCAAATTGGCCAACCAACTGCATAGTTCAAAGCAAACAGCATGTACAACTATAAAAGTTCAAATTGCCAAACAAAGTCCAATGTCAAACTGAACAAAAAAGCTGTCAAAAGAAGATATGGAAAGATAACAAGAGGAATAAAATCTGGAAGAAGTACAAAGTATGCAGAGAAAGATTAATATGCAAGCAAACTTTTCATTTCATCATTTCCCAAGCCAAATTGCTTTTTCAGTTAAAGTACATGATAAACATTATTTAATGTTTTAAGTTGTACTGGAGAGAGAAGAAGAGAAAAAAGAATGGGCTTACTGGCTTTAGGCTTGAGAAAGAAAATATATAAAAGAGACTGCAATAAAACAGTAGAGCAGGGGGCAGAGATATTAAGAAACCAGAATACAAACAAAACTGTCAAGAAAAAGATAACTCAGAGCAAGCCTGAACTGTCCAGCTTCAACACAAAAAACCTACTGAAGCCATAAAACCTGTAGCATAAAGCCTAAACCAATAGATTCAAACACAAAAAACCGTGTACAAGCCTCAAAGCTTAGCAGCCTAAACTAGTAAAACTCACTTGTCCAAAAGCCTGCTGTCAAAACCTCACACTAAGCTTCACCTGCCAAAGCCTTACCTGCAATAAAAACCTTTCAAACTGCTTCAACCAAGAGGGAACCCAAAAATACAAACTCAGCATACCACAAGGCCATAACCTGTAAACAGCATAAGCCTTACAAACCTACTCAAAACACCAACCCTGTCAAGCTTAAAGGCCACAACATCAAGGCCCTCAAGCATAGAACCTGTTCTCAAACAATACCAACTGTCAAAAAAACTGAAGCCAAGACCTAAATCAGTAAAACTCCAAACAACTAACCTTTTCAACACAAGCCTGGTCAGATCAAGGCAACCTCTAAGCCCTCAGAAAAGTTTCATCATTGGGCCATCCAAATCATCACAACATATCTCAGCATACCAATAAGCATATTCAGAATCATCAACAAATACATCATCAAGAAATTATTTCACATCAAGCAAAGCAAGCTAGGCAACCAAATTCAACAAGCAAACATACAAGGCATCAAGCTAGGCATCAGGGCGACAAGAAGAAGAAGATCAAAGATACAGAGTAAGGCAATCAAAGCCTCAGACAACTGTCATCATAGGGTTTTGAATAACAATACGACACTCACAAGCATATTGAGTATAGCCAACATTAACAAGCAAGCATGTCAGTAATCATCATCTCAGAATCGACAAAGGCAACATAAGCATACATAAGCAGAAGCGAGGAGAAGAAGAAAGAAGTGATATCAAAATTAGGTTTTCAAGTTCATCATTAAACCCAACAAAAGGCAAAAACATAAAGGTACCAGGAAGAGCTAGCTTTATCATCACGTGTTTCCCCACCGTCAAGCCTCCAAACGCCTCCAAATTCCTTTCTCCTCCGTCTCCCAAAAGGTAGTATAATTTCTTTTCATCCCTTTTCACGACCTCATTAACAAACAATAATAAACATAACATCAGAATGTGAATTCATAACATGCAAAACATAAAACCCTAACGAGATTGAGACGAATTACTACCTTGTTTAACTGTTGCCTGAGCGATCTGTGGGGAGAAGAGAATGGATGGTGGCGTTGGTGGCCTGGGGCGAAGAAGGTGGTTCAGTTTTCGGCATGAGAAGGCGAAGGAAGACGAGCGCCGTTCGTGACTCACAAACCCTAGTGCATTCCCAAAGTGGACAAACTTTGTCAAACCCTAAAAACATTTGTCTCAAGCCTTTGGGCCTTCGCCCGTTCTAAACGCCTAAAGCCTATGTTGTTCTTCCTGAATGCACCCCCCTTTTGCCCATTATCCTGGTTATTGGTCATTGGGCCTAAAAACCCTATATCCCGTTTTTGGTTCTTTCAGCTTATACTTTTTCTTTTTACTTACCATATCTTTTTTATATATATAAACTAACACATTATTTTTACATCAATCTTTTATTAATAATACTT